ATAAATGTATAATTACATATATTTTTAAATGCATGACATACAATTTCCAACCTTAATGACATTAAAGTATATTTTAGTTTACCATAAACGCACAAATTTTCAAAGACAATTAAGAAATAACTTATAAAGATGTACACAAGTGGGTCAAAAACACTACATTTCAGCTAATTAAATTTAATATGAATTTAAAGTTTTAGTTCAATTGTAAATAACATGCAATTAAGTGTCTGAAAACATTAGTTCACACTTAATGTATATTATTTTACTCAAAAGTATGCTGTAAGTGTACTTCTTTTTCACAAGGGTACAAATAAATTGAATTGAAATGTGTGTATTTATGTTTTGATCTAAGTGTCTTCAACGAGCCCTGTCACACGCTGACGGAGAGGCCGTCCTGCATACCACAAATCACACGAGTCCCATGGGGTCAGAATTATCTTGTGACCTTAAGTATGGGTCGGATGTGATTGAGGACAACGAGCCATCGATCAGAGAATTCAGGAGTCATTTAAGCTGAAGTAATAATGGACTGTTCATTTCTCATCCTTGTGTTACCGCACAATACTGTCTGAGTGCCTGTTATTGGTTAATGACACCCCTGAGACTCTTCCATCCTTCCAGCAGATTAAAGTGTTTGTGTGTGTGTGTCAGTAGCTCTATTGAAGTGCGAGTCTACTTAACACCGGCTACGTTTGGAATGCAGCAGTAGCTTAGTGCATATACTGCGCAGTACATACTGCATACTTCCACGATCAAATAAATATAAAAATTAACCCTTTCCCACCAGTGTTTTTTTTTTTTTAAGTTGCCAGCCAGCGGCAGCATTTTTGATCACTTTCACAAAACTTTTATGGCCCCCCAGAATATGTTTCTGTGTGAATATCTGAACATACAATATATCAAAAGGATGAACAGAGCCGCTACATTTTATTGTAGCTTCACGCGTTGTTACTTATCAACACTTGAATGTGGGTAAGTTTCATTAAAAAAAGCAACGTTTTGAACAGAAAGCTGAGAAAATTGCATATTTGGGATTCATGTTTGATGAAAACAGAGTAGATAGAGTCCAACAAAACCTTCATAGCTCATCCTGGGTCGCCATTTTATTCCGTAACGTTAGGCAGTTTTAAATTATATGCAGTTTAAGGTTTGGCGATCACGTTAGTCCCAATTCAGAGGCGGCGTCCTTCGAAGGCCGCTAAGGTCGGACTGAGCGTTGTTAAATGGGACGGTCAAGCCTACGAGTAACAAGTAACGTTTGCACTGCACTTTTTATATTCAAACGTGTTTTGTGTGAATCGGCCCTTACTCTGACTTTGCAGTATGTATGTTGTGCAAAGAATGCCGATTTTCGAATCTATGATATTTTACGTTAACACAAACTTGGATTCAAAATAGCCATTTTTATTTATGCTAACTGAATGCCACTTGCTGAATTAAGCATGCAACCTTATCATCAGGTCATGTGACAGCAATGTAGCATACTACTAAATGATAAATCACTGCATAATGCACTTTAAAAAAAAAACAGTAAGCAGTATATATTAGTATAATGCATCTTTAAACATATCAGACTAAACTCGAACTAATAAAAAAGTAGGATATAGTAATTTATTGTGTCCTGGTTAACATTTAGACATGTTTAGTAGGTCATGCATACTGTGCACACTGCAAAATTAGCATGAGTAGTATGCCAAAGGAAATATGTTTTCAAAGGGTCAAACATGAACGACTCATTAGGACAATTGCTTGCGGTGTTCCTCTGGGACTGAACTGCCGTTGGGTTGTTTTTCTTCTTTACATGGACAGGTGAATTTTGAATGGACACTCCATCACCAAACAGGAAACACAAGTGAATCCTCTAAGGGTCTAATGCCCTGTGGGAATTTGGTTGTATATCATCTCTGATTAATAGTACACAGTATGTGAAAAAAAATAAAACAATTTATATATATATATATATATATATATATATATATAGTTCACTTATAAGCTCACAAAAAATAATTATAATGACTGGGTATTTTGTGGAATTTTGGACAACATACTTCCCATGATCATATTACGAGTCTAGAATCTAGAAAATGTAATTATGGTGAACATGAAGTTGATGCTTAAAGTTCCGTCTGAATTTAAAAAAAATCCAAAAGGCAGAACACTGTTTGAACTGTAATCAGATCGTGGCTTTATTTCCTGTTCCATTAACTCCTTTGAATCTTTGTGGAATTCCATTATTCAGACAGATTTTGATCTCCTGACCTGATCTGGTGCTCTCCTGATTGACCTCTGCACCTCCTTTCCTACGACTCTGATCCTTTCATTCTCGTCTTCTCATTAGAGCCGGCAGCACACATCACAGCCCGTGACCTGAGCGGGTCAGGATTAAACTGTAATGTGGATGTGCATGCAGCGATACTACGGTTAGACAAGGATTAGCTCAAGCCACAAAGATGACAAGTTAGCACATAAACTGATACATTTTAGCTTGAATATCAAAGTGTTCTCACAGTAATGGTCGGGGGCAAATCTGTTAAATGATTCATGACGGGGTGGAGCGGTAAAGGCGGGCCGGTGGTAATGAAATCTACTGAGACTCCAGTTGCAAATCTGATCCAAATAAACTGACTGTAAAAAACACAAGAAAATAGGAGAATATTAGATAGCGATGCAAAAAAAAAAAAAAAAAAAAAATGTAAGGAACATTTACAGGCAAGATAAATTCAAAAGTTTAAACCATGCAAAGAATTAACATAGGTGTATTACGGTAGTAAAGTTACATTTAAAAAGCTTCATTAGTCAAATAGACAAAAAAAATTGTAAATTCAAAAGTTAGTAAAATAAACATTAACACTTAAAATATACACAAAAAAACATTACACTTATTAGTAAAATTAAAAGCATAATTATTAAAAACAGATTATTGGAAAATATTATGAAAAGTAATACCTTTACAATAATTAAAAAATAAAAATCTAGAAAAAAACTTCACAATGCTATTAGAAAAAGAAAAGAATTCAGAAATGAATTCCTTTAAAGCATGCAAAAATAAAAAGTTTCATTTGTAAAATCATAATATAAAATAAAAAAAGTAAAATAAATGAAGCTCTTAAAAAATGCAAAACAATTGGTTAGTAAAATAAAAAAATGTCCTTAACAAAATCAGACAATAAAAAAACTAGAAAATGAATACCTCTGAAACAGGAAAAAAAAAGAAAAGAAAAAAAAGAAAGAAATAGATTTAAAAAAAAATGAAACAGAGAGTATTAGTAATGATATAAAGAAAAATAGAGGTCCTAAAATAAAGGTTGTGGATTCAGAATGAAGCTGCTATAATCAAGTGTTTTGTGTGTGTGTTTAAAGTGGTTGAGTGGCAGGCTTGAGTACAAATTCCCCAGTTGATTTAGTGTAGTTAAGATCAGATGGAATGTGTCAAAGCCAAAAGCTCTAGTTTAATCTCGCTGGCCTCCCCTTCCTCTGACAACACAAGCTGACATCTGACTGGCAGTGGGAGTAAAAGAGATCCGGGGTGAACGAGAGTCAAACCGACAGGAAGAATGATAAGGTGATCTACAAAACATCAAAGGAGGATTTTCCAAGAGACAAACAGATGCATTAAAAAGCGACGAGACATTTAAGAAGTGTTCAGAAGCTTTTCTTTATTGGCCTGAAGATTAGTCACAGAATGTGTGTAAAAGTTGGTGTGTGTTTTATTCTGTAAAAACCGAGAAACAAAGCATGCAATCAACAATCGCTCCTTCCAAATTCATTCAAATAAACTCCAACTCATTCATCTAAATAAACTACGGTATACAGCAAAAAAAAAAAAAAAAAAAACTTTTCCTCAAGTCACTACAAACGAGTATGAGACAGTTGAATTATACAGGTAAATGTTTTGAACACACACACACACACGATGGCCAAAATGCTGTAGTAGGCAGATATTAAGAACCAACTTTAGCATTTCTGATAGTTTTTAGAACATATCCATTAGTAATTCATAGTAATCTGGTGAATCGCACACAAACACGTCACCCTTCACCCCAGCATTTAATTATATTTTTTCATAATTTTTACGACACATTTTTTGACAATTTTGTTGTTTCGATTTTTTTTATGACAATTGCGTACATTTCTCCAAATGTTCTCAATACTGTACAACAAACAAGTCTAATTCCAATTTCTTTCCCATACATTTATTGATATGAATTTTAATTATTCTCAAGTTCATATTTTTAATTTACTGTTTTACAGTAAAAATATTTTATTTTTTATTTTTTTTTATAAATCAGCCTAAAATAAGCATCATATATATATATATATGAAGCCTATATGATATATAAATATATCATTCTGCATGTGTATACGTTTTTTTTCTGGTGTGTGTGTGTGGGGGGTAATGAAATACGACCTGGACATGTTCTTGACAGGTTTTGTGAGATTCACCCAAACATGTCATGGCCTCAGGATGTGAGAGCATGTGTGTGGATGTGTATTTGTGTGTAATACAATAGCATTTTGAAGAAAAAAAAAAAGAAAAAGCAACAGCATACAGATTCAACACATTAAGACTTGAGCAAGACTCGCATGAAAACCCCTTTTATAGCTGTTCTATATTAAAACTTGTGTCTTAAAATGTAACAAACCCCTTCCCATTAATTCCAACAGCAAAAAGAAGGGTGGTTGGAAAAGCCAAGAAAAGAAATGTCACTATAGAACAGCAAAAACGCAAATAAACAGATTTCGCATCAAAGGGTCAGAGCTCTCGAACAAGAATGCGAAATGACCCATGCGGGGTTAAACAGCGCTCTAAACACACAGCTAAAAGGCAAAAGCTAAAAAAAAACACTCTTTCCTCTATGTAAACATATTCATATAGTTGTGCCATCTGTAATGTTACCTTCCTCTTCAGTGCTGAACGGCAAGTGTACAAAATGCATCTCTGGTCTGCATGCATCACATATTGTAGGACATTTACACATGCCACATGAAGATATTTCACACCAGTCTGTTTGGGCACCTTGTTTCCTCTCCTAATCTGCTGAAATAAAGCTCTGTGACAGCATAGGTCAATTCAAAGTGCACGTAAGAAAAAGAAAATTACATAAAGGAAAAATGCAGAAAGGTGGAGCACTTGTGCATCTTGCAAAAAGAAAGAAAGAAGTAAAAACTAAATGCTTGGCTGCATAAAAGTAGTTGTTTTTTATTAGTTGCCACAGAACAACTCAACTATAGTTAAGCTAATGATTTAAGCAAAACCGATGAAGTACCACACATTATTTTATGCAACCAGGCACCCAAGTAAGCTGACGGAGGTCTGTAACCTCTAGACGCGTGTCAGACGGTCGGGTTAGACTGTGAGAGAAATGAAGCTGTTATATCTCTGAATGTTCCTCTTGAGGATCTCAGAGCAGGGCCCGAGGACACGCTCAAAACGTGGCCGGTCCAGCTTCACACACTTGAGCGGACCCCTGGCCACGACTGTGGCTGCACGGGGTCTGTTCAGCAGCAGGGCTATCTCACCTGCACAAATACAACACACACACGTTAGCTTAATGACTTGATTTAAAACTGAAAACTCAATTTTGATTTTTATATACTCTGACACTCAAAACTCAAAATATCACAGTGTAACCAGGCAGTTAATTGGTACTAGGTTGTCAAAAATAATTCAGATATGTATTTCGCCATCAGGTCTGGTGTCCCACAGGGGTCTGTTTTGGTACCGCTTACATTTACATTATCATCAACACCTATTCAGTACTTAGCAACCTGACCCTTCCTAATGAACAAATGTGTGAACTATGCCGCCACACTGAGGTTAGCCGATTACAACAAAAGTTTATTTACATTCTGTATAGAAGTCTTAAAGGTACAGTGGCAAAAACAGTCAGTTTAATTCTAAGGATCAGATAGAGATGGAAATGGTCATAAAAAGCTAAATAATGACTGTTTGTGCAAGAACATTGAGCTATAAGTAGAAATAATTATACAAATGTGTAAAATAAAAAATCTAAAATTGTGATACAATAATACATTATTCTACTAAATGTTTGAAAAAGACTTTTACAACACTGATTTCAGTTGTTTTACATTTTAAATTCTGGAAAATAAATCCAATCGATAAATAATTTATCAATCAAAGAAATAATAATAATAGTTACATAATTCACAACAATAAATACTTTTAAGCCATTTAAAAGGTACTTTATTTTATTTTTTTTAATCTTAAATACTGTATCCTAATCCACCTTACAATACAAAGACCAATAAATAATGAAGCCTTTTGTAGGTTTGAGCAGCCCAACACTGCAACATTGACTCAACCAATGGCATGAGTTAGGGGCGGGACTATCTCATTGGCCAACCAATGAGAAAACCAAGTTCAGAAAACTTGTTTAAAACAATCATTATTTTTACCATTTTTATTTGGTGACATTAGCTGTGCAGAAATGTCTCATCTTTAAGCAGCAATCTGTTAAAAATGCACTGTCTTTGCTGCGTGCTAATAACATAAACACAACCCTTTTAACCTAAACGGTTATAAAACAAAGAGCAGTAGCTCTCTATATAATGTAAATATGACTATATTCACTACGTAGAGTGCCAATCTAAAGATCAGTATGCCTGTGGTGCAGCAGTGTAAACCGCACTGACAGTAAACAAGCACACAGATCTACATTCTGCAAGCTCTGCACATGACGAACTGCCACCTGTTAGGAAAGCTACTCTTCCTGTCTGGCTCAGGCACTTCTGTTCTGTTATTTACAAGACTTTGGCACAAAGCTGCAGGCTCTGCGATCCTTACAACACTCACCGAAGTAGTCAGACGGACCCAGGCGGCCCACTTCGACATATTCTTCATTATCAGACCTGCGCTGGAGAACAGATGCTGTACCCTGGGAAGAGAAGGAGAGATGCAGGTTTAATGAGGAGGAAAAGTACAAAAAGAGGAGCAGAGGGAGGGGAGAAAAGCCTAGCTCATGGTGTCGCTGAGTGTGAGACGTGTCAAAAGGATTAGTGCTTTATATGCCAGCAGGTGTACAGGGTTTAGACAACTCTGCATGCTCGCAACACACACAAGTACGTCATACACTGACACATGCGAGCACACCTGGGCCTGTCAGTGTTGAGATTTTTCAACAATCATAGAGTTACACTGCATACGGCACCCCGCACTGCAATGCAAAAACTCATTTAGAAAGATAAACAAGGAGACAGGCAAACGGTCTGTCACATTTGTCACATCAAGGACAAACACTACCCACAATACAACAGTAAAACGAGGAAGGCTGACAGGACAGGGATTCTCTCTATTCATAGTCACTTTACAGAAGTTAAAAAGATGAATAGCTGTTAATCAGTACAAAATATGCAAAATATACACAAAAAAATGCAAAAAAGCATGTAAAACAATAATTTGAATAATGTAAGTGATGTAAATGTTAAATAAAAAAATTAAACAAACAAATCTGTAATATAAAAAGGGAAATTATAAACAATTGGGCTCAAATTATTTTAAAATATGGTTAAATTATTTAGCAAGAATGATATAATTATTTTATGAAATACTATTATTATAGATGTATATATAAATATTAAGACATGCAAATATAAGAAATATTACAATTTTATTATTATTAATAATTGAATTGTTCGATTAATACAGTTGAATAAAAATAACAATAAACACATTTTTAAAAATGTATCTTGATTTGAATGTTAACTACAATACCCTCTTTCATTACTCTCCAGACTGTGAGTAAACTCTTATCTTGTGAGCAAATGTGGGGGTTGGAAGCAGGTTAGAAGGTCATCTACAGGCTCCATTGCTGGGTCACTTAGGCCTTTGCATGTCAACGGCAACAATTTGTAAAAAGAAAAGCAAAAAATATGGACTACTTTAATTTAACATAACTGAGGAACTTTATGATTAAATGACATTACATAGGTGGGAGAAAGTAGTTCTACCAATACTCCTGATGTAACAGTCCAGTTACAACCATATCTTAGATAGCAGCACTAGCTATTAAAGCTATTCCATAAAACATAATAAAAAATAAATCAACAAGCTGTTACTAAGAGAGACCACATACAGTGAGAAGAGGCCCAACCCTTGAGGGATGCCAGACCTGACCTGTTTGCTCTCAAAGGAGTTGTTGTCTTCACTCAAACTGCTAGTGGACACTGACATATCATTTGAACCAGTTCTAATCCACAGCACTTGTCGAAGTAGTCAATACCATATCACTGTCCACCGCCCATGGCTGTATCTCACATGTAGCACTACTGGATCTCTTTGGAGCTTTCAACACACAGTTGACCCCATTGACCTTAACATCCTGGTAGAAGACTTGAAAATCACAGGTCAAGTATGAAAATCAAGGGTCAAGGATAGTGTCCATCAAAGTTGTGTACTGGAGTTAATACTAGTATCATTGTAAACACTGCGTTAACTTCCACTGCTACACTGATGAAAAGCAATTATACATCAACAAGACTAAAAGCTTATTTTGTAATGTTTGCTGCAACTAAAGGTTTATTTAGGTGTTAATGTGTGTTATCATTGAATTTTTTAACTTATAACATCTCAGGTATTGCATAACAACAGCCTTGCAACCACCCAAAACACTCTAGCAACGACATACTGTAGAAGGTGCTAAAACTACTTAGAAACTACATAGCAACACCCTAGCAACCACCCATAACTCTTTAGCAAACACAGCAGGGTGCTAAAACCACTTAAAACACCTTAGAAATTGCACATCACCACCATTGGAACTGCATAACAAGGTGTTAAAATCACTTAGAACACCATAAAATTGCATAGCAACACCCTAGCAACCACCCACAAGACTCTAGCAAATACATAGCAAGGTGCTAAAACCACATAGGAAACACACTACAGCAACTGCATAGCAACAACCTAGCAACCGACCATAATAATAAATAATAAACTTTCTTTTATATAGTGCCTTTAAAAGTAGCATCCCAAAGCACTTTACATAAAAATAATGAAATTAAAAAGATACACATAACAGTCCAGGCAGTAAAAACTAAACAAGAAATAAAAATAAAAAGCCAATATAATAACAAACAAAGTAATCACATGAATCACATAAAAAGCCACCCTAAAAAAGTAAGTTTTAAGGGACGATTTAACTCTCCAGCAACCACATTATAAGGTTATAAAATCACTTAAAACACTTTAAAACATCCATAACAACACCCTAAAAACCACTTAACAGTGCTACAACCACTTAAAACACTGAACGGCATAGCAACAACATAGCAACCACCCATAATGTTCCAGCAACCACATAAGAAGGTGATAAAACTACTTAGAACAGAAACAGTTAAAAATTGTATAACACCAACCAGGCAATCAAATAAAGTGCCAAAACCACTCAGAACACTTTTGGAATTGCATATAGCAACACCCTAGAAACCACACATAACATTCTAGCAACTACTTAAAACATTGCTAAAACCACTTGGAACACATGGAAATTGCATAGCAACACCTTAGCAACCACATAAAGTGCTAAAAACCACTCAGAGCACTTTAGCAATTGCATAGCAACACCCTAGAAACCACACATAACATTCTATCAACTACTTAAGGTGCAAAAGGAATAGGATTGCATAGCAGCACCTAGCAACTATCAATCTAGCAACCAAATAACAAGCTGCTAAAACCACTTAGAACACTTTAGAAATTGCATAGCAACACCATAAGGAAGTACTAAACCCCCCCTGGAAACCACCCATGTGCTTAACTTTGCAATTATTAAGAATTAGTCACATATTCTTAAGAAAATATAATTTTTCAGACAGTAAAAATCTGCTATAGACTATATGCAATTTTACAGCTAACTTACAAAAGTGATATTGCCTATAAGACTACCTCAAATATCTCTAAACACCCTACTGCCTTCTACAGTACTGTGTCTCCTTCAATCTCAGGATGCATGCCTCTTCAAAGTACTGTTCGAACATCTGCTGATGGAAAGGCATTATGTTACAGAGCTCCACAGCTGTGGGACTGCGTTGCTGGCTGCCAATATGAATAATCAGACGAGCTGCCAATATCTTATTCAACATCTAGATACAAACATTCCTGTTCAGTCAAGCATATAGCTAAGGTAACTCAAGCATACAGGCTACCATTTTCACCTGAAGGCATCAAGCTCAATTGAAAATCTAAGAGTTTGGGTTAACCGAGATACCAATGTTGTTGACTTGCTGTTTACTCACGTTCAGTAAAGTCTGGAGCTGGCGTCTGGGCGGGCGGCTCTCCACCTCTCAGTCTCTTTTAGGAATACTAAACCATTTAATTTGCCCTGATGCATAAATACTAACGCATTTTCTCCTCCACTTCTCCTGCATTGATGTGTGCATAGTTAGGTATGCATATTTTTATTCCATTTCATGGGATAAAGTAGGCAGAACTATCGTTAACCTTTTATTTTCTCACGCTCTGTCACACATACAACACTTTTTAATCTTATGTAAGTTACAAATGATTGATTAGGATAGTTTGTGAAAAAGGTAACACCAGAATGCACCGTGACAAGCTCAGAGTAAAAAAACACACATCTAAAATAGCAATGAAGTCAAAAAATGTCAATTATAAATAAACATTTCATATACCGTTCAAAATTCTGGGGTCAGTAAGATCTTTTTCTTAAAGAAACAAATATTTTTATTTAGCAAAGTTGATCAAAAGTGACAGTGAATACTTTTAACATTGTCACAAAAATGTCTATTTAATCAAATAAATTTGTTTTTATTTTCTATTTTCTAATCACTCTGGCCAAAATGTTGATATAAGGGTATGTCATATTTATACAGAAAAATTACTAGCAGTCTCGGGCTTTTTATATATGGGTTTCATTAATTATGGAAAGTCTGTAGCGCTCTGTTAAATGCTGTAAAAAAGTCATGAAAGATCCAGAAAATCTCAGCACAGCAGTAGTCCTTTGACCAGCTCTTCCTCAAAATACTTATGAATAACTTCAATGTGCAAAAGAGCTAACCCTGTGAGAAAATGTGGAAACACTGCATTTTTAATACAGTATGTCAGGGATGGCTTTCATCTCATACTGATTTGAATGTGCCTGTAATTATGTGGTATATAATGACAGATTTCACTTTTTCTTTAAAAATGCTCTTTGGCCAAGTTTTAAGCTTTGAATGTTTCGGTGTGACCCTAGTGGATCAGTGTTCTGGTATTTGCAGGATCTTGGCTTGGGACGTGCTCTCCAGATGTATGACATCATGGGGATGCCCTGGAGCTGTTGGTTTTGCATTACAATCAAATTAAAAGTCTCACAATGGGCAACAAAATGTATCAGCATCTGTGGGAAAACCTATTTAACACAAACACATTGAGGGAGAGAAAATCTAAACACAAACACCCAAATGCAAACAATTTAGCAGCGTTGTCTAATTGGTCGTCTGCTCTCACACGATTAAGACAGTCTGACAGCAGCTGTATGGGTAATAAACCACACCACGAATCATCACATTTAGCACGGCCCAAATTAAGATGATGGAACGTTATACACTGTGAAATCGGTTAATGTGTGACGCATCAAATCATAGTTGATCTGTGACTCAATCTAACAAACAACAAATGTGTCTCAAACCAGGGTTATTATAGTTAAATAAAACTAAAACCACAAACAACTATTTAAAATAAACATTAACTGAAATAAAATATCAAATACAAACTTATTTCATTTGAACTAGCTGCCAAGTCTACATTTCTTATTTTCATTTTAATTTCATCATTTGATGTCCCTTTCTTTCTTTCTTTCTTTCTTTCTTTCTTTCTTTCTTTCTTTCTTTCTTTCTTTCTTTCTTTCTTTCTTTCTTTCTTTCAACACACATTAAT